TTCGGAACAGACATTCTACTTCAACAACTTCAAATATTTCGGTTTGAACGAGTTGGACAACAACATCAACTCTCCTCCAAGTGAAGCATCTACAACAGCTATAACATTAATTTGATGGATTATTGTCACTGACATCATCACCAGCACCTCTGCTTCATCGACCCTGACATCTCTGCTGTTGCTAATGGATGATTATGTTTTCGCCGACTTATTATTTCACCTTCACGGTTGACCTACTATGCAAATGCTGATGAGCGTCTTTTTCATCATGTCGGTTGCGTTTGTCGTCGTCAACTATTTTCTTCATCTTCATGATTGGTGGATTTTGTCATCACCTTTGATCTACCTCGTCTGTCACCGACTGATTATTTTGCTGCCATGGCTACACAATTTTATCGCTGGGTTCCTTCATCTTCATTGTTAGTTGATCTGTCTGCCGCCGACTGGTTTCTTCGCCTCCATGGCTATGCGACTTCATTACTTTAGATTGGTATCACTATCTTCACTACCACCAGTATTGTTGCCACCTCTGGTGGGCAATATTATCTCTATATTGGTCGTCTTGTCTATATGCCAACTGCGTCAGCTACCATCAATGGACGATTGTGACTACGACAGAAGGACAAGCTATATGCTCAGGGGCTCATCAACTCAAGCGTGAGGATTATATCTCCAATTTGGACTTGTTCCGGATACATTCCACATGGATTCATAGTCATGAGTTTATTTTCTATGCTCAAAGACTGGACCAATTATTATTCCCCGTAAGGGCTATCAACCGAATACTTGCGCCAGTCGGGATTCAATTGTTACACCTATTTTGGAGTATCCCATAAGGGATAATCATTCAGATCAGAAGCTATTCATATGAGCTACACTTGGTCTATATTACCCGGAAGATTTATTACTCGGAAGCATGTTACATGCGTCATCCTTTAAAGGGTGTCGAAGGCATATTTTTTGGCCTAGGCCTAATATGTCTGCAGCCCATATTTTCAGGTGTGGCCTGTCACGTTCTTTTAGGGACTTAGGCACTTTTTGCTTAGGCCAAAGTGCGCGTGATCAAGTGCCCAATACCTTAAAATCCTTTTATACCGCAGTTACTTAACTTTTTAGGAGTTGGTACAATGCATCTTAAAAGGTGTCAAACAGTAAAGCTTTATATAGCTGTCCCGCTGACTTTTTTATATATAAGTCAAGGTGCTGTTTGGGTTTTTAAGCAATTGATTGGATACAATATCATTGCTTTTCGCCACGTAAGTGTGCATTTTTATTGACCAATATTATGGCTTAGGCTGATTATATATTGTGGTCATTTTCTAGGCGGTTGGTAAATCCTTTATGAGTTTATTCACTCGGATTTTACACCACATATGCCATATATTTCCAGGTGTGGTGAAACCATGTGTCTTTTAGGGACTAAAGCACGTCTGTTAAAGCAGTGTGCGCATGGCGTATGCCCAATACTTTGGAAATTTATTTATTCACAACATACAAGCTTCTTTATAGCTGTTTTGCTATGTGAATTTTCAATAATGTAGCCAACTTTAGGTTACATTCATCATATTTTACAAAACAGTCGGTATATCACTTGGATCATATTATTCAGGGATTCACACCGCATATGCTACATATTAATATCAGGTCGCTTGGTTGACTATAATTATTAAAACCACTCGGTTGGTTGGATTATTTATTCCTTGACTATATGCTTGGTTTGTTCAATTAACCACATAGTCGGAGGCTACACCTATTAGGTGCATCTAGTCGATGCACCTGACTTTATTTTTCAGCCCTCCACAGTCTTCATATTTGGTAAAAGTACTTCGGAGACCATGGCGAAGATGATTGAAGCACTCAGCTTTGGAGTAATCTAGTTCGAGAGAAGATTATCTTTTCGACTGTGAAGGTCTCAGGGGCTACTGTGGAGATTATGGGTACCCCATACCCACATGGCATAGTTATCCGACTGGCTATAGGGGATAACTTATATCTATGGAATATGTAACAGATCATGACTTGGGTATTACGTTTCCTTGTATGTTACGGAACGGCCTAAAGTCCTGGTTTGATAATATTGTAAAGTAGATTTAGGAAACCGATACCGTATTGGTTAAGGTTTCTATCTTGTAATCCTGCCCCCCACCCTATATAAGGTGGGCAGGAGGCCCTCTAGGGGGCATGGGACAATCTGATCGTCAGATCAATAAACACCCGGTGGATTCAATTCCCCAAACAGGAGTAGGGTATTACCTCTCATTGAGAGGGCCTGAACCTGTCTAAATCCTTTGTCTCCACATCCATCCACTTTTAGGTCTCGTGCGCTACCCCCTTTTATTATTGCCGAATTCATGTTTCGACAGCATTCATATATAAAGTGTAGGATCAAACAACATGAAAGCCGACCTAAGGGAGGAGGGGAGACTGAATGTACTACTGGAGATGGGAAAGCTCCCGTGTGTTGCCAAATGTTACCGTGTGTTTTACGAAACACACGGTAAGTTACCGTGCGCTTCAGAGGAACACGGTAACATCCCGGCCATACCGTGTGCAAAATACGAACACACGGTAACGAGGGAATATACCGTGCGTGAACGTGCTGCACATGGTAACGTTGCTGCTGAACCGGAAATCCATCCAACTTCCGTTTTCGCGCCCTGAGATTCCGTTGGCGCGGGCGAATTCCGTGGTTGGCGCCCACGGTGCTCCTAATGCCGCCAATCAGATTTCCTTTTTTTTTTTTTGGCACAACTAACTATATTTCCTGTTGGTGCATAACGGAGTGAAAAATCGTAACACCTTCATACGAAGTCGGATCGAGATAAATTTATATGAAAATTGTAGCCCTTAATGAGATCTAGATTTTTTTAGAAGAAATGTTTTGCATTTGAGATTGTTTCCGGGTTCAAATATTTATTTTTTTCTCTCAGATCTATTTTTAAAATTATGTTTTGAGTTTTCAAAATGATCTCCAATGAATACATGTTCTATATTAAAATAGAGAACTATACGAGATCTATAATTTTGCAGAAAAATTTACAGATTTGTTAAAATATAAGAAATTCAAATATTTTTTCAGGTAGTAAATGATTTTAATTGGAAAAGTTGTAAACAATAAAGTTGTATAACTCATCAAGATCTATAACTTTTACTTTGGTCTTTTTTCTATATAACATTTTTTGAATAGTTTAAATTTGAATTTAAAAATTTGACAACTTCAAACAACATTTTCAAATACTAAATGATTTCAACTGAAAAAGTCATCAACAACAAAGTTGTATAACTCATCAATATCTATAACTTTTATTTTGGTCATTTTTTTATTAGACAAAGTGATAATAACATTGTTCATAAAATTCACATATCTCTCATCTGGTTTTATAAACTGTAACACATATTTGTGAATTTTATGAATAATGTTATTAACACTTTGTCGGATGAAGAAATGACAAATATAAAAGTTTTAGATCTTGGTGAGTTATACGAATTTGTTGTTGATGACTTTTTCAGTTGAAATCATTTAGTATTTGAAAATGTTGTTTGAAATTGTCATATTTTTAAATTTAAATTTAAATTGTTCAAAAAAATGTTATATAGAAAAATGACCAAAATAAAAGTTATAGACATTGATAAGTTATACAACTTTGTTGTTGATGAATTTTTCAGTTGAAATCATTTAGTGTTTAAAAATATTGTTTGAAGTTGTCATATTTTCAAATTCAAATTCAAACTATTCAAAAAAATATTATATAGAAAAATGACCAAAATAAAAAAGTTATAGATATTGATGATTTATACAACTTTATTGTTGATTACTTTTTCAGTTGAAATCATTTAGTATTTGAGAAACCACATCAAGTGTGTTGTGTCTACTATCCCACTTGTGTGTTGTTTGCAGTATGACTTATAGTGGTACATATAAACAAGAAGTACGGTTATTACTCACTCTGTTAATATACAAACGTGGGATATTGTTTGGAACAATTGCATATAAACTAAGTTTTTAATAGCAATTATATATAATTAGAAAATTTAATTTCTCACCAAAGTCATTTGTACAGATAATTTTCCAAGTAAAACTGCTTGTAAACTGTGGTCGAATGGATCTAAATCGGACGGCTTAGATTCGTCATCAGATTTGGCTATATATAGAACACTTCAACCCTAGCCGGCCACCGCCGAGGCGCTCCCAGTTCTCCACCGAACCGCCGCCACCCCCTTGCATTGTGTAGCGAGAAAATTCCCTATATACCCCTGAAAATTTACTCAATCCCTTCAATACCCCTGAATTTGACATTATCCCTTATATACCCCTGAGTTTTCATTTTGATCTCCTCTATACCCATCTCCGTTAGTTGACCATTAGTTGACCGTTAAATATTTTAAAATGACTATATTACCCATCCTATACATATGTGGTACCTACCCAATAAATTTTCATATGAAAAATAAACTTATACAAAATACAAGCAATATAATCATTTAATGCCCAACTTAAAAAATAAAACTTATTATTTTTTATTTTTTAAAAATTATGATTAAATCCATACATTAGTTTCACCAGAAAATTAAGAGCAAAAACTAAATGTTATTTAGGTTTAAATTATTGGGAAGATATACGAAATTCATCAAATTTGATCTGAAATTTATTTAAAAATTTTAAATTTGTTTTCTAATTTGTGATAAACTAATTATATCCCCTTTGTTTTTTCACAACGAATCTTTTTTCACTAAATATTTGTTGAAAAGTTATTTTCAAATCTTATGCAGAACTTTTTTTTACAATAAATATTTTTTTATTTTAATGAAATAATGTTTTATTTTCAAAAATTCATAACAAATATTTAGTAATTTATTCCTTATTGGTTTTCACAACTCAAATAATTTACACATAAAACATTTCTAGCTTTTAACAATATAACAAGGACAATAAAGTAATTTCTACAATAACTAACGGTCAAACTAATGGTCAACTAACTGAATGGGTATGTAAGGGATCCAAATAAAAACTCAGGGGTATATAAGAGATCAAACAAATTTCAGGGGCGTAGAAGGGATTGGGTGAAATTACATGGGCATATAGGGAATTGGCCCTTGTGTAGCGGCGGCGCCTCCGCCATCTCTCCTGCGCCGTCGCCCCCCATCCTCGAGCTGGACGCGGTGGCACGCCTTCACCTTCCTTGGGTAGCGTCTCCTCCTCATCCTCCCCCTCTCCAAAGCTCCATCGTTGTCCCCTCTCCCACCCCTTCCTCTGCATTCGGCTAGATCCAGCCAATAGAAGCTATGGCCATGGCATCTGGCTCCCCTGAGCTTCGTGGAGTGGAGAGGCCAAGGAGGGGAGGCCTCCCCTAGTATCTTCCTCTCCCAATCACCATTGCTGCCAGCTCTTCCTCCCCCTTCCGGATCCGGCCAGATCTAGGCTTCATCGAGTTGGGGACTTCCAGATCTGGAGCTCCAGGTCATGGCTACGTGCTGCATCCACCACAACAGCAACGAAGACGATGTGACGGGGCTCGGGAGTTCCCGCTGATGGCGGCGACATGCTGGAGAATTTCCTGACATAAAATGCACCTTTTCTTGTTTCTGAATTTCCTGGGCTCCATGTGCACCTTCAACCGGATTTTATTTAGTTGCTATATGCAGGTCACTCGGCAATCCTGCAAATACTTAATGGTTGGTTGGCGAAATGTGCAGCCCACATTAGGAGTGCAACAATGAAGTGCTTCCATAAGTAAGCTTCAATTATCCTTCAATCTTGATAAGCTTGAATGATCTGAAGTGATATGCACATGTTCTGGGACTTTGTAAGTGGAAAAGATGGGATTTTTTTTCTTTGGTCAGGCTGCTCAGGATGGAGCTGAAGAAATACATGACAAGAACTAAGAGATAAAACAGAAAACGCAGATGCAGGAAGAGCAACAGGTAGATGATGCGTTAATTATTGCCTTTATATTCATTTTAGACGATATAGGCAATTGTCAAAGTTGCATCTGCCTGCAGCTAAAGTAATCCCTATCCCTATATCTTGTGGTTCTCCCTTTTGTTTGTATTAAAAACTTCAGAGTCATTGAGAAGTGCCATCAGGCTTAGTTCTACTCGATGTCAATAAAATTCAGAGTCATCTTCCTGTTCCTCTTTTTTTGTAGAGTATAAGGATATTGTGATCGAAAAGAGTTTAAACTGTGATTTAGCTTCTGAAGAGACCTCATGGTTTTGAGGCATCAAAACAAAAGGCTCATTCATTCTGTTGCGCATGAAACAAATTGGTGTAATTCCTGTGTCTCTGTAGATTCTTTAGATTCAAACTGCAGCAAAGAACAGACATAGAAATGTTGGCTTCCCAGTTCCTAATGAAGATGTGAGCATCCCAGTAAACTGTACTCTCAGTGTCTCTGTAGTTTAATCTACATTGGTGGCACTGTCTACCTTATAATCTTACAAACTTCAGTGAGAAAATAATCTTACTACCTGATTTTAGGTTCAAACATTGTGTTTTTCATAACATCCATGAATAGGAGTGAATCATCTGTGCTGGTAATGATTGCTATACAAACTTCTTTGCAATCTCAAGCCTAAAGTATTTACTTTTCCTTTTTCATTTATGCTCTTTTCAGTGTCATTGTGCCTTTTTTATTGACATTCTAAAAAGTTGCTCAAGTTAAATTGTTGACTGTTCTTGACCATATTCAGATAATGAGAAATCAGAGATATATAGTAATGTGTGGCTTAATTTGGCTTATATTAGAGCATTGCTACTCGTAAAAGTACCTAGCGAAAAAAAATTGCTCATGGTAAACTACCTGCACAATTTCACTAGTACCTTTTGTGATGCAGTAGTTGTTTATACACTAAATGGTGGCCTCTGTTCCTGAAGATCCAGTCCTATATTTTTGCTAGGTTGATCCAAATATGCTCATGTTCTTATTTCGATCTATATAATTGAGCATTTGGTCTTCTTTCCCCATTAATTGTACTATGTTTTAGTTTAGCATGTAATATAGTCCAATCTTTATTAATTCAGTTTCTAGCTATATTGATCTTACAGTTTCTTACAAGCGTATCACAATTGCAGGTTTAATTATACATTCAAGCATCAACTTCAGGATCTGTACCATCTATTTATATCATCTTTCTGTTATTGATTGATCAACCAAATAATATGTTCCTAGCTATTGTAACTTTGGTTATTGCTTTAACTGACATGAACCATGAATTGCTTGTATGCTAATTATTAATTGTAACCTCTTTACTGAAATATATATCTATGTTGGAATGTGTTGTGCTCTTGTGTGCTTGTTGGTGGTTTATATTGTGATGATGGAAATAAGCTCTGATGGATATAGTAAACAAATTGCAAATAGCATATATTTTTTTTATTAACACATGTTCTCTTACCGGGTGCTTCAAACACAGTAACACACCAAATGTTACCGTGTGTGAAGGACACTCGGTAAGCCACCGTTCTGTTAGGAGCTCCGTTACACAAGAGTCCAGCTACGACGGCAGCCTTACCGTGTGTGCTGCTCAGCACACACGGTATGTGTTTTGGCCTTCCCGTGCGCATAATCGTAAAACACCCGAGAAGTGCGCACGGTAAACTGCCGCCGAGTATCTGTTCCCGTGCACTAGCACCCGGTAACGTCGTTACCGTGTGTTTTTGGCCTGTTACCGTAGGTTTTGAGCACACGGGAGCCTTCTGGTCTCCAGTAGCTTAAAAGTAACCCTCAAAACAGATGGAGACTGTTCAGGCTGACGTTGAATCTCTGGTCTGACCGGCTCGGAACTTTCAGTCTGACTGGGGTATATGCATTGTGTACGTAGGATCATAAGTCTTTCCCACAGTCCCACTTATGGCCGGATGTGTTACTGGAAACCATAGTGACACCATTCTAGAACTGTTGTAGCACATAGCTGTGTTACTACAAGCATGTCCTGGTGTAGCATCAAGGTAAAAAACAGTTCCTTATAGTTTTTTTAGTGATGCGGAAGAAACTTCTGTGAGCACCACACTGTTGTTTCCTCGATACATCCTAACCCTGGCCATACTGTTACTTTTTGCTCTTGTGGGAGAAGTCAGTTCTATATTGGACGATATGTCTCCCCTCTTTGGTCTGCCCTGAAGGCCTTGAAACCTGGGAGAAGGCATGAGTGCATGACAACGTAATCTAGAGCTTCCCATTTATATGGAGAGTGGATACTATCAGCTTGGTATCATCTGTTTCAACCACCAAAACCACACGAAATTAGTTTTATTTAATGTCGCTACAATAATCTGTAGAAATGACAAGCCCAGAAGCAGCTGTAGTCCCGGTTGGTAAAGATCGACCGGAACCTAAAGATGGTAAAGATCTAGAACCCGGTTGGTAATCTAGAACAGCTGTAATCTAGAACCGGGACTACCAATTCAGGACTAAAGATCGCTATCTTTAGTTCCGGGTGAAATAACCGGGACTAAAGATCGATCTTTAGTCCCGGTTGGTAACACCAACCGGAACCTAAAGATGACTCAGCCACGTTGCATGGCCCTGTTGCTGCATGGTTTATATATATATATATATATATAAACAATGCATATATATGTTTCAATACATATATATGCATAATATATATATATATATATATATATATATATATATATATATATATATATATATAATATTATATTTATATATGTTTCAATACATATACATGCATAATATATATGTATTTATACATATATGTTATGCAAATGCATATGTATATATATATCAAAGCACTTAACATTTTATGTGCATATATATATGACCATTGCAGGAGGAATGTATGGCTGGGGATCCTGGGACCGATGTGCGGCCATGCGTTCATCCACCTTCCTTGCCACCTCCTCTTGCATGCTGAGCTCATAGCTCGATACCCTGTACTCAAGATCTGCAATCTTCGCCTCGATATCTCTCTTGCTCCTTATCCGACTCCTGTACATGTGGATGTCCTCCTTGAATCCAATCTTCCAAGGAATCACCCCTTTCCCTCGTGTTCGTCCTAGATGCTCGGGAGTCTGCAGGGCGAGTGACAGCTCGTCCTTCTCTCTGTCGGGTCGGAACGTGCCCTGAGAAGAGGCTTCCACTACGTCCGTTAGTCGACTCGCAGCCTCGCGTATCTGATCGCTGAAGACCAGAGAGCCATCAACTGGGTTGAGCGTTCCACCGTGAGCATAGTTCCAGAACTTTGATCGATCCGGCCATTTAGCGGTGGCCGGTTCGATACCCCTCTCAAGAAAGCTTGCCTCTATCTCTCACTTCGGCATCGCGACGCTATAGCCGCCTGACCCCAAGTGGTGATGGTACTTCTTCTTGGCGGCATTTTCTTTGTTTCTTTCCATCATCGCCTGCCCTTGTTTCCCTGTCTTGTAAGCAACGAACTCGTCCCAGTGATCCCTTAGCTTCGGGAATTTGTTGAAGTTCGGTGTCTGCCCCTTCAGGATGTATTTCTAGTACAGATCTCCCTTGAAGCTCTGAAACTGTTCTGCCATTTTCTTTAGAGTCCACCTTTTCACTATGTTCTCTGTACCCGCAGGAAGGGTGAATGTCTTGAGCATTGTGGTCCACAGCATCTCTTTCTCCGAATCTGGGACAAAGCTCTCATGATTTCCGCGTGCCCTTGTTCTGCACCAGTACACCGTACTGACAGGCACGTTATCCTGCACAACCCAACCGCTGTGTCGTACGTAGTTCTTGGCTGCTTATGCCGGGGCACTAGGTCGGCCGTCTTCATCCACTTCTGTTATGATGTGTCGACCCTCTAGCTTCTTCGCGGCACCTCGTTGTCCGCGTGCCCTCTTCTGTCTAGTGGTGGGTTGACTTCCACTAGCCTCCTCCTCCTCGTTCCCCTCCGCATCCCTCTCCACGTTCCCCTCCTCGTTCCCCTCCGCATCCCTCTCCACGTTCCCTTCCTCGTTCAAGTATTGGTTTGGATCCTCGTTCCCCTCTTCTTCATTCCAGTACTGGCCGCTTCCCTCTGCGATTGTATCGTACAATATCTGTTCCTCATCGCAATCAGCCATCTGTTCATACAAGAAATATTTATAGGTTATATTTTCTAAGCGTTATTAAAACTATACTAATCTTGTATTAAAACTATAATAATCATATATGCTAAGTCTAAGTGTCGTATATTAGAACCCTAGATAATCATATATGCTAAGTCTAATTACAAATCTAATAATCTTATATTAAAACTCTAATAATCTTGTATTAAAACTCTAATAATCTTATATTAAAATCCTAATAGTCTTATATTATTAGTCCTATATTAAAAATCTAATAATCTTATATTAAAACTCTAACAATCATATATGCTAAGTCTAAGTGTCGTATATTAGAACTCAAATAATCATATATGCTAAGTCTAAGTGTCGTACATTAGAACCCTAAATAATCATATATGCTAAGTCTAATTAAGTTTCGTATATTAAAACTCTAATAATCTTATATCAAAAATCTAATAATCTTATATTAAAATTGCAGTAATGATATAAGCTATGTCTAACACTCACATATGCTAAGTCTAATAATCGATCCTATATTAAAAATCTAATAATCTTGTAATAAAACTCTAACAATCATATATGCTAAGTCTAAGTGTCGTATATTAGATCTCAAATAATCAAATAGTCAAATAATCATATATTAAATCTCTAACAATCTCTAACACTCACATATGCTAAGTCTAAAACTCTAATAATAATCTCTAACACACACATTTAGTAAGTCTAGTAATCTTATATTAAAAATCTAATAATCTTATATTAAAAATCTAATAATCTTATATTAAAAATCTAACAATCATATATTTACATCACTTGCCTGCGCGAATTCCTTCGAGGGCTAGCTACCACTCCGGCTTGAGGGACGATGACGACGACGACGACGTCTTTTCTGCAACATACAAAAAAATGTATTAGTCTAAACGCAAAGTAACATATATTGTATTTCACGTAGTGTCGTATAAGGCGACCGTTCACGTTTCGTTCACGTTCGTTCACGTTTCATTCACGTTCGTTCACGTTCGTTCATGTTTCGTTCACGTTCGTTAACGTTTCATTCACGTTTCATTCACGTTCGTTCACGTTTCATTCACGTTTCGTTCACGTTCGTTCACGTTTCATTCACGTTCGTTCACGTTCGCGTTTCGTTCACGTTCGTTCACGTTCGTGTTTCGTTCACGTTCGTTCACGTTCACGTTCTCGTTAAGTTCACGTTCGCGTCCTCGTTAAGTTCACGTTTCGTTCACGTACGTTCGTTCGCATTTTGTTTGCTCCTTCACGTTCATTCACGTTTAGTCTACGTTCGGGAATGACTTTTCGGCAGTGGCGGCAGCGGAGCGGCGGCATGGCGGCGCGACGTCGGTGTGGCGCGGCAGCGGCGTGTCGTGGTGGTGGTGTGGCGTTGCGGCGACGTGGCGCGGCATGGCGGCGTGGCGCGGTGGCGTGCCGAGGCGGGGGCGGCGGCGTGGCAGTGGCGTCGGCGTCGTTGGCAGTGGCGGCGTGACGTTTATACGTCGTCGGCGGTGGCGGTCGCATCGAAGTCGGGGTCGGCATCGGCGGGAGGTGGAGTCGGGGTCGGCCGTGTCGACGTCGGCGGCGGCATTGGCAACGAGGCGGCGGCGGTTTGGAGAGAGAGAGAGATCGAGGTCGAGAGAGAGAGGGAGGTGGCGGCGGCGGAGGCAGCGGCGGCGACGCCCGCGAGACGACGGCGAGATACAACAGCGGCGTCGACGCGGGGATGCCCTAGGTAGTGGCGGCGAAGGAGAAGCCGAGATCGGGGAAAAAACTTCTAAGTATTGGTGGAGAAGACGAGGGCGTATCGGGAATATATATACCCCTAGATCTTTACTCTCGGTTGGTGAGAACAACCGGGACTAAAGATATCTTTACTCCCGGTTGGTGAGAACAACCGGGAGTAAAGATATTTTCCCACTATTTCCAAATTCTTTTTAAACCTGGTTAGGGTTAAGAACCGGGACTACAGATAATAGCACTGAATATTGAATTTCATTACATATGTGTTTCTAAAATAGTAAATAATGCATTAAAATTATTTAAAGTCGAAAAATTAATGACAATTACTTCGAAAAATTAGTGTTGTCTGTAGTAAATTAAGTGGATAATATGTAATAAGCACATGAATGATTTAAAATTGTTAAAAAGTCTAATAATCATATATAATTAGCATATGCATGATATTAAATTGTTAAAAATTCTAATTAACATATGTAAATACCACATGCATGATTTAAAACTTTTAAAA